CAGAATAGTTTTAGGTTTTTATCACGATATTTCATTATATACTTCTGTTCCATAAATCGTGTCGAAAAGTTTTTCTGCTAATATTTAATATTAGTTTGCAATATTTATTTTAAACATTGACGTTACACCACTTTCCGCCCTGTCTTTCATTCTGATACGTTACAAAAATCGACAATTAATAGATTTGTCGTTCGCCTTTTGATACATATGGCAGCAATGTCAAAATAATACCTTGTCGTTCGTACATTGCAATTTTACGATGGCCGAGTTGTAAGGTCGACTGAACAAAAAAAAATCGATATATAATAAAACGCGGGGGAGGAAATGAAAAACTGTCACGCAAAGTTTCCAAACCCCAAAAAAATGCTTAAAAAAGAAAAAAATTTTGTTGGAAATTATCATAACAAATCTAAATCATATATTTTTATCATTAATTATCTTCCGAATGCATCAATCCCTAAATGATTTTCGTAATACTGGATTTTCATATTATTATTTATATTTGAATGCGAACAAAATCGTATTTCAAATGTAAAATGTTGTTTTGCATGATTCGGCCTTTTTTTTAGCACGAATAATTTAAACAATTATATAGAGAGCAACAAGAACTAGAAGCGCGGAGTATAAGAGCAACTAATTATAAATTAATATGCAAATAATGTGTTTTTATATAATTTTAATATTTTCCATATAACCTGAACTCTTTTCTTCCTTCTTTATATGCCGTGAGATTGAGGAAGGCTCGAAATTGTGGCCAATATGTATTTCTTGTATTTTTCGTATATTAATTTATAATAAACGAATAATAAATTAATAATAATTTATAATAAATTAATTTATAGCAATAGAGTTTTTCCGGCAGTCGCGCTTCTGGTTCTTGTTGTATCGTTGTTTGTCTTTGGAGAACCACATGTTACATTAAAAATTATTTATTTTTTTATAGATAATGTCAACATTATTTTCTTAAGAAAACGTATTTCATTTATAAAAATTTCTAGATAAAAATTTTAGGGAAGAATTATTATTTATATATTGCATACTAACTCTGTATTCTCTTATCTCGATACATCTCACAGCCCACGTGTTCCTTGTTTGTATTGAAATATAGTTAAACTGTCAACTGTCAATTTGAAATATGTGCTTTATATGCATAATTCGCTGCAAATTTGATTAGAAATTTAAAAAAACACAGCACAATTCACCAATAAATTGCAATTAGATGAACAACGGTCTCGCGAGCAGCCAGAAATTCAATCATTCACAAATACGTTACCATATGTCTTAATATTGATAACGCTATGAGATACACTTTCACGACGATAAAAAAAGAAGTGAAGCTTTCCGCTCGACGGTTCACGCAGCACTGACTGAAGCGTCACAAATGAAGAGGGTTGCTCGCTATTGCGCCCGCGCTGTGCCGCGACGCCGGCGTCGATGCCGCATCGCACCGTATACTGGCTATAGGCTATACATACAGTATACAGGGTGAGCCAAAAAAAACTTTCCATTTATTTCAACTTACTGATATATGCAAAAACAGTCGAAACAGATCAGTTTTGTTTTCGAAGGAGTTGTAAAATAAACAGAGTGGAAAATGTTTTTTAAACTTTATATATATTCACAGGGAAAATATCGCAGTTGAAAAACAAATGACTGATTCACACAACATACAACACTTTTATAACTTTCTGCGCGAAGGTTTTTTCATCATGTTTGTCACAATATGTGAGATTGAAAAAATTCGACATAGCCCATTTTTATGGGCAAGATTTTACGATGAAATCTTTCTACGAGACATGAGAATACTCGATAAATTTTAGTGAAAGGAAAGAGAAAAAGGAAACATAATATTACTTTAATATTGAAAAAGAATGTTAATATTTCTATTATTATATGTATTATTAATATTTTATTTTATATATAAAAAGTACTGTCGTTTATACGAGAGTATTAGAATTTTTTTTAATTGTAATGAACATTTTTTGTTTATTTTTTTAAATGGCACATGTCACATTTTACAGAAATGTATAAATATATTTTAAAATTTAGTTTTTTATTTGAATATACATATCTGTATTTTGTATTTCTAAAACATTTCAAGTAAGAAAACTAATGTGCTAAAGCCAACAACTTTAACACGCGACACATAACATTTACAACTTGAGCGATGTGCAACAAAAAAAAACACCTGTACGAACAGGTATAAGAAAATTATCTCTCTCTAAATTCTCTTTAAATTGCACATGTTAATAAATTTTTTCCACGTATTAGTTTCGCATGTTTATGCGTCTCTCAATAGATGAGAGCGGCACACGGAATTTTTATATTTATTTTTTCAGCAGATGTAAATTGTAGCGCTTATTATGCGTTTATCTCACAAACAAGCGAGACATAAAAGAATAAAAAATACAATAAGTTTATGGAGTAAGAGTGGGAGAGATAGAACATGTAAAGGTAAAATTCCTTGTCTCTCGGCGTAGAAATATTTTGTCTGTCGTAAGAAGATGAACTTCCTTGGAAATGAATATTATAAACTCAATCAACGTCTCTTACGATTATCTGGCTTGTGGCCATATGAACATACAACCTTTAAATATTGTCAAATGATACTTTATAATACTATCGTAGCATACACGACAATTTGTCAAGTAAGAATATTATTTAAAATCTCGTTGCGAGAAAACTATTGATATATAATATAAAACATAATCTGACATTTCTCATAAAACTTATTTATATATGAAGGAAATATTTTAGAGATTAATACTTTGCGATATATAATTCTGAGTTATTGATTCACGATTTCAGATCGCGAAATTGATAACATCGAAACAAAATTTCGATTTTATGCTGAAACTTCTCTCTCCTATCATACTTTGTGTAATCTTCATTATAAAATATCAAACATTCTATATTCTTGCTGGAAAGGTGAGTCGATAATGCGTCCATATTAAAATTTTTAAGCTAAGTATACTTTTTCAATTTAAAATATTACATTATATAAAAAGAATATGCGTACAATTATGTCATTTAAAAATTTAACTTGTTTTACTAACATGCATAGAGATTTACGGATTCTCTCCGCATTGTAATATTCATTTTATTCCGCCGTTAATATCTTATAATCAAATCTTTATGTTTTATATTATTATAGGATAAAAATTTTTTTTGTAAATATTTTCTGCTCTATATATACCTATTTATTAAACGAATTTAATTTTACCGCAACAAATATCTCTTCTGTAACTATCTGAAATATTTATTTATTTATTTACTTAACCAAGACTTTTTATTTTGCTTGTGCAATATTGTAGTGTACAATTTGTAAATTTCTTTTCAATTTCTTCTTTGTAAATGCGCGATGAAGATACGGATCTTTGTAGCAAGAATTGAAAATGTGCTCTATCTATTGTAAAAAACGATTAAATTTATTTATGCACTTGAATTCTTATACTCTTTCGTATGAGTAGATAAGGTATCTTATGGATCATGTAGAAAAAGATTGGAACATGCTTAAGGATAAAAGAGAATTGGAGATTCTAAAAAACTACACTTCCATTGGAAGTATATGCACCTTGATTTTTACAAGTAAGAAGTAGATGTGCGTAGCTTATGGACTTCGAATAAATTTATAATGTATAATTGTTCTGAAAATTATCTTTTTATAATTTAATTATAATTTCAGTACTTGGTTCTGTGGCTGTAGTACTTTTTTTTTTCTTATCACTTACATCAAGCATCTTTGATATCTTAGCGCCATTGAACGTCTCACGTCCACGAGAACTCCTGTTTCCAGGAGAATATTTTGTTGATCAGCAAAAGTACTTTTATGCCATTGTATTACACTTAAACGTTACTATAGGTATGGTAGTTATCACTATGGTAGGCACTGAGTCCTTGTATGTAACGTACGTGCAACATGCTTGTGGAATGTTTCAAGTTGCCAGGTAATAAAATAAAAGATAGTCGTGCGAACATTGAATTATATATGCTCGTATATAATGCAGATTAATTGATATTTTAGTTTGAGTCTTTTAATCAATCGATACGTCGCTATAGATTTTATAATAGTCGATCGCTATTTTTGCAGTTATCGAATGAATCAAGCGTTCGACGATGAATTCTTAAAAGCGTACACAACTGAAAAACAAGCAATCATCGTTTATAGAAGGATAGTCGAGGCTATACATATTCACAAAAGAGCTCTCGAGTCGGTATAATGCAGTGTGTTGTTAATAAATGGAAAAAATATTCGATTAACATTATCGAACTGTTGATTCTCTGTGAAACAATATTTATTTTGTTAAATTTGAAAATAATTCCATGCAGATTAAGAAATAGCACGCGAAAATATTGCAACAATAATTGATAATCGCACTAATTTTTTTTTTTTTGCCTTTTAAGATTTTCTGAAATTCTATGGTCTACTTTGGCGGCGTCGTACAGTATTCTGCTTATAATCGGTATTACATCTTTGATTATTCATCTTTTCAGTGTGAGTTCTATTTGTTTATTTAAATAGCATATCTATTCTACTGATTAAAACGTTATATATATTGTACATATGCAATTATACGTTTAAAAAATATATTTTTTAAAAATTAAATTTATGTGTATATTTCTTTCTTAGCATCTGTGGCGAATTTATTGCCGAAATTATTAATTTTTTAGCTTTTTCAAGCAGCATTATCTGTGAAGAAGGTGGAGGAAGTTATAAGATTAGCTTTTTTTACGTTTGGTCATGTTTTTTATTTATTCTTGGGTAACTATGTTGGCCAAATTTTAATAGATCATAGCGCTGGTATTTTTGAGAACACGTAAGTAAATTCGTTTAAATAGATTTCAAACTTTCAAATATTTATAAAAATTTGTAATATATTATCATAATACGATTAAAATAATAACAGAAATATATGTATACGTACACTTAACAATATATGCGATTGTACGTACACTTAACTTTAAATTTACTTAATCTAATTATTTATTTATTCCTGTAATATAATGAGAAAAATAAGTTTTACAATTTTAATGAATGGTTAGTGCAAACCGATATGTAACGAGAATCAATAATACGAAACTGCAATCGATTGACATTTAGATCAACTTTTAGATATATCACACAATGGCACGGCACTTCTTTACAAGCGCAGAGATTACTGCCAATGATAATGCAAAGAAGCATGAAAAGTTGTAAGATGGTCGTGGGCGGTATGTATGTTCCGTCATTCGAAGGATTTGCGACGGTAAATGTCACGCTAATAATAAAATATTTCTTTTGTTTAGATATAATTAAATTTTAGATATAATTAAATCAATTTTAATTAATTTATTATTAGTGTTTAGTTTTTTCAAAACATTTATCTTTAGGTGCTTAACGTCTATTCACGCTATTAATTCACTTGTCACTCTTTCAAACATTCTGTATGAATAAACGTTTAATTATTGCTATTAAAAGAATTAAGTAAAAGTCATCGGGTAAAATCTGTTTTTCATCAACGTAAATCTTGAATTTCAGCTTATGAGCACAACTGTGTCGTATTTCACGGTACTTTGGTCAGTACACAAGTAACGCTGTCAGTAATGAAAATTTATAACATAAATTGTAGTCACCAAATCAGTAGAATTATTTTAATTAATAACTGGAAAAATTATTTAGAGATAAAATAATTAAATAAATTTAATAAATGATGTCACATCAACAACTTCCTTAATTTTTTGCTATTTTTATTATATTATTATTAATATTATTAATTGAAAGTAAATACTGTAATTAATGATGTTTAGCAGCGTATGTATTTTACTACAGTGAGTATATTAGATTTTCATATTTTTACAATTATTAAATCTTGTCTTTTTAATAGAATTGTTCAACATTATAAGGCTTTACCAGTATTTCATTATAAACATGTATAAAATTTCATATGAATAAATAGAGTTAAAGTAAGTAAAGAATAGTATTCTTTTTAATGAAATTTTTAATTAAATTTGCAATTTGTTATATTATTTTACTTTTATTTACTATTGCGATAAAGCTATAATGAGCGTAAAATGAGATATGATTGCGCAAATAAGTGTTGAACTCCAATTAAACGGAGGCTTTTTGCGCTCCCTAGCATCGACTTGGAGAAAAAAATAATATAAAAACATTTTTTTAAAATGATTGGAATTACTTATTAATTAATAGAATCAATGAATCAATAGAAGTGTATTTATTTACCTTTCGTCGTTGTTTTCTCTTTGCTATTTCAAAATCATAGAGCTATCTATCTATTTGTTGCAAAATACAATCCATTTTTCCGCAACACAAGTTTTTTTCGAGGGTCGATTTTTATCATCCAAAATTTAAGCTCAATATGCTTGGCATCTTTATAATTACACATAATTACACATCTAAAAAGTAATATAAATAAGTTTGTGCGTGTGACACGCACAATAAATCTAATAAAGGTAGTGTAAGATTTTCGTTAAATTTTATAAATGTGATACTCGGTGATATCGTGTACCTCTACAAGAGCGGAAATTAATGTTGTTCATTCTGCATCGAAGCATGCATAGTTGCCAGCGTGTCACCGATGGTATTTTTGTTTTATCGTTGGAAAGATTTACTACGGTAACCTCCCCCTCCCTCCTCCCCCCCCCCCCGGACCCCCCGACTGTGCGATCACTGTGACATATTACTGTGATTTTCGACGGTAACGCTAATATCTCTCGTTGCAGCTTCTCGCTACGTCGATATCTTATTCCACAGTACTATCGTCTGTCGAGCGTTGACAGCGGCAATCGCGAGAATAATTGCACTTTCGCATCACGTTAATTTATCGCGCCCAATGATCACATACCAAACCACTGGCGTTACTCTTGCATGATATTTCTACACGACAAAGTACTAAACAATATTTCGGATGATTCTGGATTAAGTCGATGCAATTCAGAATGCGAAAATTGTCTGACGTTAATACTTAAATGTTACATTAATTTTTAAAATTCACTAATTTTTTTAAAAATTATTACGTAAATACAATTGAAATATTGCAATTATTATGCTTCTTATCTGTATATTATCTTGATTAAAACCATACGACTTGTCTATTCGTTACATAAACAATGAGAGTAAAATTAAATAATAAAATCTAATAAATCTATAGTTACAAATAGCACATGTGCTGACTTACTTTGATGTTTTCCACGCGAAGATACATCAGATCGGGTACTAGTATAGAAGAGCATTTGCTCCGATTTTCGCATGTATAGCGCTCTACACATCTGAGATTTTCTGCAAACTGTAATCTCGTCGGCTCTAATGTAAAATAAATTACTATTAACAAATTTATAAGTGACAAAATTATCAGTCTAAAATAATGTACGAACGTGAAACATTCTTACTGAAGTATCGAAGTGTCACGTTTCCCATCCGATACGCGAATAAGTGTGCTCGACTGAAAGAACATTTCGTTCTTCATTGCGTCTGCGCCTGCAAGGGAAGGAGAAGCACAGAAAATGTTGATATGTAATGTGTAAGTAAATTACGACAATTTACTTTTTATTTGCCATCACCATTATTATCCATAATGCTATAAGCACATAAGTAGGGATAGTTTCCCTTCGGAGTACCAAGTTCCTTTTCTTATTTTTATTATCTCATATTTAGTTCCATTTAGGCGGATATAAGCATCCTACAAATTCACAGTTAAAAAAAAATATAATTTTTACTTCAGTTGTCTATCTAGTGCAAAGAATTACAAAATAATCAAACAAAAAAAAAAGAAAATAAGAAAATTTAGTGATATAAGAAGGAAAAAAGTGTTTATAGATTTCGTTTTTTTAGTAATGCTTGAACTGTCATCTGAAATGGAGTTTCCTGAGGATCAGTATTATAGATCGAATCGTATTCTTCTGTCGATCCTTGGTCTCTGGCCGTATAATGATTTTAAAGTCAGACAGTTTCGTTTTTTTTTATCATTACTGATATTAATGTCATTTATAAGTACTCAGGTATATTTATTTTCGCATTTGTATCATACAAAATTTTAATGCTTTTGTTTCCACATATTTATAAATGGTGTGTTGAATAATTGAAATATATTCAATTATTTACGACATAACGTAGTAATAAAATAAACATGCAATTTTATTTTTGATCTGATACGTCGATTATTTTAATCGATTTTTGCCGATATTTTAGAGCAATATTTTTTTGCTTTCTTACTGTTTACGCGTACGTACGTATAATGTAAAATATTTTTTTCACATCACTAAATTCCATAATATTTTTCAGTGGATAAAATTATTTTACGCAGAATACAATTTTGAAATAATTATAAGAATATTATCTAGCAACTGTTTTTTTTTATTACTTTTCATAAAGTACGTCACATTTTATGCTGTCATGAAAAATGTAAGTTTACAAGCGATTTATTCCATATTAAACTATATGTGTAATAAAATTATCATAACTATACTAATAGGTAAAGGAGTTTCGGGAACGCGTTCGAAATAATTGGAACGCTTTGGCTGACAATCGAGAGATCGAAATCATACGCAAACATTCAAGCATAGGAAAATTATTAACAATATTTATAGCAAGTAAATGCCAAACGGATATTTAATTATTTGCTTACCATAAAACTTATTTATAGTAATAATTATTTATAGTAATAATAGTAACTTATAACAACAATGTGATCTAAAATAAATATAATTTAAAAGCGAATTAATCGTTCTTCACAATTCCTGACATATTTTCGATCAATCTGGAATTATAGCTAAACATATTAATATTGAAAATTACAGTTTTGCGCAATAAATGATAATTTCTCTCCATATATATTAAGGAAAAATTCGCTATAAATTATGTAAAGAATTTATTGATGAAAGATAACTGACTAAATATGAATGATATATTGTGAAAATCGATTATCTTATTTTTAAGATATAGATTAACATGGAAGTGTTGATTTTACTTAATTCTAATTAATTTGGAACTAATTGGATATTATAACCGGCGTTACAAGTAATTTTAATACATGTATATAAAAACAACAATATTTTCTAGTTTATTCATAAGTTAATAACATTTTGATTTATTCCAGTATTCGCGTATTTTACAATTTTGTTCTATATAGTTATGCAATATATTTCAATTTTACTCGATATTGTCCAACCTTTGAATGAGTCTCGTCCGCGTGAACTTTTGTTTCTGGCGGAATATTTTATTGATCAACAGAAATACTTTCACATCATGGCACTACATATAGATATTGGACTACTTCTTATAGCGACTACTGGAGTAGCTACCGAATCATTCTCATTAGCAAATGCATTACACGCTTTTGGACTGTTTAAAGTTGCTAGGTATAAAAATGGCTATATCATGTCTCTAATTAAAAGTACTATTCTCTCTTTAAAACATATCTTATTGTGACTATGATTAATATTTTTTATAATAATCTATTTATAATAAAATATGTTTGATTATTTGCATTTATCAATTTTTTTATTTTAATGTTTTTATTCCATTTGAAATGCACGATTAATATTTAATAAAATTATCTCTGCTATTGTACATAACTCTATGTTCTTTTATAAAATTATTTTTGTTTTGAATTTTAGTTATCGAATGGAGCATATATTAAGTGAACTTAATTCACAAATGTGTACAACTAAACGATATATCATATCTCGTGGCAGAATAATCGCTGCGGTGGACTTTCATAGAAGAGCGATCGAGTCAGTGTTTATGTCACTGTTTATCAAAATTATATCATACACGAATAACATTAGCGAGAATTTAGGAGTTTGATTGTTTACATTGTAATTGCCAACAATTCAAATTTATTGCAAATTGCATTATTAGGGTAAAGTGCCCGAATTTCAGATACCATTTGTATTTGTTTAAATTTTGATCAAATAGAATTGTTAAAAATTTTGAAAAAATACATTTTACACTCCTTATGTTGTTACTTTGTTACATTCTTGTGCAATATGCAATAACTTTTTATTTTGAGGAGTTATAAAATTATACCTTCAGAGATGCAATTTCTTATCTCGAGTAAATAACGTTAATTACGGATAGACTATAAGTATAGATAATGAATAGGAAATGAAATAAACTTTTAACACAATTAATTCTGTTTAAAAAGAGAAAAAATGTATTGCTAAATTTGGATATTTTACCCTAATTATAATTTTCCGTGTATGTATTTTAATGTATTTTTAAATTAAAAATTAAAAATTAAATTAACATTTCTAATAATACTTTTTCACATAATTGACATATTGAAGGAATAATAATGAGTAACTTTTTATATCATAAGATTTTCTGAACTATTGAAAGCAAGTTTTGGAGTGGCGTATTTGATTGTGTTTGTGACTTGTGTGGTTTCAGCAAGCATCAATTTAGTCAACGTAAGTAGCGTGGCACAAAAATTTTTAACTGTACTTTTTACATAATTTTTCAGAAATATCTATAGTATTTTGAAACTAAAATTCTTTTAAATTAATACTTTTGAACTATTGATTACAGCTGTGTTACCTAATAGCAATGAACAATCAGATATTGGAATTTATTAAATATGCTTTACTTCTTGGTTTGCATGTTATTTATTTA